AATCACACTGCGCACGTGTGCGCATGTGTTCCCCAAATCCCAGGAGAATGGAGGAGAAGGGATTGTGGTATGGTTATCCCCCTGGGGGCTGATTTCTTACTTTCCTTATCACTGTCACGTTCTGGTGAGTGCACATGCCCTATGACAAAAACCTCAAAACAACAACAAAAAGAAGATGGGACCAGCAGGTGGCATGGTGGTTTAGGTGCTAGACTCCCATGTGGCTGACTGTGGTTTTAGGACCTGGAGGCTTGCTTTCTCACTTTCCCTTTCTCTCTCTCTCTCTGGTGAGCACATGTGCCCTCAACAAATTAGATAATAATAAAATTAATTCTTTAAAAAAGATTATTTTCTTTATTCATGATAAAGCATGGGTATGTGAGAGAAAGCAGTGAGGAGAGTGTGAGAGAGGGAGAGAGAGAGAGACCAGCACCTCCACAGGGTCTGGTCACACCACAGTCCCCTTCCTCCAGTCCCCCAGCCCATTGGACCATGGACACTCACATGTGCCCAGTGTGTTTCAGGCTGACAGGACTGCGATTCAGACTACAGTTGCCATGTGGATCCGGCCACTGTGTCTCAGAGCTGGCCCCAAAGTTACTTTCAGTATTTGAGTATCTTCAGCCAAGCACATTACTTGAAAAGAAGAAAAATAATAGCTAATTTTGAAGTAATCTTTGAAATCCCACCTATAATGAATGAATACTGGAACCAGCAGTTAGTGTAATGGCTATGTCACTGGACTCCCATGTAGCTGACCGTGGTTCGAGTCCCAGACCTGGTGGCTTAAACTCACGCCAGGAGCGTGTGCTTGTGTGCCCAAGTTCCTGAGAGCAGAATGGAGGAGAAGGGATTGCGGCGTGGCCATCCCCCTGGGGGGTGATTGATTTCTCGCTTTCTGTCTCTCTGTCTCTCTGTCTTTCTGGCGAGCACATGGGCCTTATAGCAAAAATCTCTCCAAAAAAAGAGAAAGAAAGAAATACTAAACATCAAAGAAGAGAAAGAAATTGTCATTCCTGTGATAATGTTTACATCCCATCGGTGTTCTGTTTTGACAGTTCTAGAAGACTTTATTTTGGGACCAGCAGATGGTGTAGCAATTGTGTTGCTGGTTGCTGGACTCCCACATGGCTGACTGCAGTTCAAGTCCCTTACCTGGTGGCTTAAAACTCACACCAGGCGCGTGTGCATGTGTGCCCAAGATCTCAGAAGGAGAAAGGAGAAGGGATTGCAGTATGGCCATCCGTGCTGGGGGAGGGGGGTGATTACTCACTTTCCCATTCACTGTCTCTCTCTCTTTTCAGCGCGCTGGGGGAGGGGGGTGATTACTCACTCTCCCATTCACTGTCTCTCTCTCTTTTCAGCGAACGCACGTCCCCTAAGGCAAAAATCTCTCAAAAAATATGTAGATATTAACATCAATTATTTAAAGTGACTACTTGGGAATTTCCAAATAATCTAAACTGTTATTTGAAAAACTAGTAATATTTATCAAATGACCTCTTTACCGAGCTAGATATTATTGCTTTAATTCCCCATGGGATTTTAAATTAAATGTTTTAAACCCAACATCCCTCTAATTTGGAAAAGGCAGTTACCAATTGGAAGCTTTCAAGAATTTCTGCATATGCCAGATAACAATCATAAACACATCCTTTGTGTATACATGCCTTTTGGGGGAAAGGGCATGGATTTTTACGTATTTGTGAAATGACATATTTTAAAGGAACATGGGCAATACAGGTCCATCTCCTTGTAATTTCTCTGTTGATCAGTGAATGCAATCACTTCTGGAACCTGATCTTTAGATAATTTTGGTAGAGGGGAATTGAATTCCTATCTTTAGATTGTTCTTTGCTCCTTCAAGCAGTCCCCACTTTTCACCAGGCGAGGGCAATAGGGAGACACCTGTTCGGCTTTGTCCAGTTCAATAAGGGCTTCTCGGAAGCTGGCGGGTACAAACGCTCTCTCTGCAACTGCGCAAGGCCAGGTTTCAGCCTAGCTCGTGATAGAAGTGTGTCTTCGGAGAACCCTGTGCGATCCCAACTACTGGTTCTGGGTCAGGTTTCCGTGTTGGGTGACGCAGGTTGGGCATGTGAGGTGCAGAGTGAGCCAGGAAGGCCTTGAGTCCTGCTTCCTCTGGTAACCCGAAAGACTCTGGGACTTTGTGAGGAGCAATAGTGGGTAAAGGACAAAGGACCACAGATGCGGACCAAGGAGCAGGCCTTGGTACATGTTGGCTGTCCAATGCCCTGGGGAAGACAGAAAGTAGCTAGTAATTCAGGCTGCTGGCCTGTCTCTCTGGACCACCGCCTTGCCGCCATATTACATAAACTATTGTTTAGGAAATGAAAACCTGTGGCGTGGTGATTAAGGCGTTGGACTCCCACGTGGCGAAACACGGTTCAAGTCCCGGACCTGGAGGCTTGCTTTCTTACTTCCACTCTCTCTCCCTCCCTCCGTCTCTCTCTGGTCAAATTAATAAATAATAATAAATAAAATTAAATAAATAACTTAAAATTGCTTTTAAAAATGATAGCATGCTTATGAGGAGCCACATTCTGTTTTCTGGAAGGAAATTTTAAGCTAAAGAAACGTTGAAAGAGACCAGCAGTGTAATGACTATGTCGTTGGACTGCGGTTTGCATCCTGGACCCGGTGGCTTAAAACTCATGCCAGGCATGTGTGTGTGCGTGCCCAAGATCCCAAGAGGAGAATGGAGGAGAAGGGATTGCGGCTTGGCCATCCCCCCCGGGGGGTGATTTTTCGCTTTCTGTCTCTCTGTCTGTCTCTGTCTGGCTAACGCACGCGCCCTATAGCAAAAACCTCTTAAAAAAAAAGAAAAGAAAAAGAAACGTTGAAAAAAATGAGTGAAAAGAAACAATGAGATGCTATATCAATCATCTGCCATTATTGCATGGAAAAGAGGTCTTCCAAAAATATTTCTAGTTCTGTAAGAAATTTAAAATTCTGCTGGACTGTGTGGATCAGTCTTTACTGGGAGTCATTTATTTTGTACACCTCTTTTAAAAAATGAACAGCCAACTATTTCTAATACTTTGGGCCAGACTCTGAGTAAATCAAACACCTCTTTTGAACAGCATAGAGGAGTTAGGAATGAACAACTGGATTTCCATTCGTTCAGCAGTTAGTGGAACAGCTATGTAGGATAAAATAGACTGAGGTTAAGTGAAGGGCGCTGGTCAGGTCCCAGCTCTGCGTGGCCTCTGCTTTGTCACTGCCGCCCAGCCTGGGCCTGGGTCCAGCCAGGATGACCCTGCGGTGAGTCAGAACAGGGTGTACGAGCAGGACGTCAGCACCGCCTCCTGGCCCTGCACCCGGACCCCCTGCGGCGGAGGGCGTCTCCGCGTTTCCGCAGGCCCCGCCGCGAGGCGGCGCTGCGGAGGCCTGGGGGCTGAGCCCGCCAGCGCGCT